AAAAAAAAAAAAAAAAAAAAAAAAAGACCCAATGAGTGACTTGAACATAATCATTGTAGGGAGTAAAACCCTCATGTTAAAAAACAAAAAAAACAAAAAACATTTATTTGGTTAGAAATTAGGTTTCCAGAGAAGTTACAAAAATAGTTGTTTCCGTATATCCCTCACCTGGCTGCTTCTGACGTCAACATCTTTCATAACCACGGTGCAGTTGTCATAACCAGAAAATTACCAGTGCTACAATACTCTTAAGGTTTTTTTCTTGATTTTTCACTACATTCCCCCCACTGTCCTCTGTCTGTCTCAGAACCCAATCCTGGGTCCCCCTTTGCTTCCAGTTCCCATCCTCCCCATCCTTCTCTGGGCTGGAACAGTTTGTCAGTTTCTCTTTATCTTTCATAACCTCCTTACTTTCAAAGAGGTGCTTTGTTGAATATCCCTTAATTTGAGTTTGTCTTACATTTTCCCATGTTTGGACAAAAGATAATGCCCTTTATTATTTATTTCTTTTTTGACAGAGTCTCCAGCCCAGGCTTGAGTACAGTGGCGAGATCATAGCTCACTGCAGCCTTGAACTCCCAGGCTCAAGTGATCCTCCTGCCTCAGCCTGCCTCCCAAGTAGCTGGGACAACAAGGTGCATGCCACGACACCTGGCTAGTTATTTTTTAGAGATGGGGTCTTGATTGTTGTCCAGGATAGATAATTCATTTTTGACATTAAATCCCCCCAAAATGGTGTTGCATTCCTCCCAGAGCATCTTATCATGGGTTTGTGATACCGACTTGTCTGTTACTGGTGATAATGGTCATGATCATTTGTTAAAGTGGTTTCTGCCATGTTTCTCTGCATAGGTGCTATGAGAGCCTGTGTGTGTGTGTGTGTGTGTGTGTGTGTGAGAGAGAGAGAGAGAGAGAGAGAGAGAGATGGAGTCTCGCTCTATTGCCCAGGCTGGAGTACAGTGGTGTGATCTTGGCTCACTGCAGCCCTCGCCTCCCAGGTTCAAGTGATTCTCCTGCCTCAGCCTCCTGAGTAGCTGGGACTACCGTAGTGTGCCACCACACCTGGCTAATTTTTTGTATTTTTAGTAGAGACGGGGTTTCACTAGGTTAGCCAGGATAGTTTCGATCTTCTGACCTCATGATCCGCCCTCCTCGGCCTCCCAAAGTGTTGGGATTACAGGCGTGAGCCAACGTGCCCAGCCTGAGAGCTTGCAGTTTGATGACAGTAGTGAGTGCAAAATGTCTTTTTCTCTTTTTATTTTCTTTCTTCACAACAGGTATGAAATGATTGTTTTCAGAGTCTTCCTTTTTTTTTTTTTTTTTTTTTTTTGAGACAGGGTCTCACTATGTTGCTCAGGCTGCAGTGCAGTGATATGATCATGGGTCACTGCAGCCTTGACCTGCTAGGCTCAAGCCATCCTTCTGCCTCAGCCTCCCAAATATAGGTGCACATCATCACACGTGGCTCATTTTAAAAATTTTTTGTGGAAATGGAGTCTCACTACGTTGCCCAGGCTGGTCTCAAACTTCTGGCTTCACGTGATCCTCCCACCTCATCCTCCCAAAGTGCTGGGAGTACAGGTATGAGCCACCACACCCCTTCTGAGTCTGAATTGCCCAGGAAAACAAAACCAAAGGCCTCCACAGAGAGGCAGCCAAGGAACATGAAAGCGTGAAGGTGCCCCAGTAGCCCCCCTCGGCCGTGATGCAGTGTTTCTCTTGCTCTCATTTCTGATAAGTCAGCTCTGCTCCGTTTTCTCCCCCAGTGCCTCCTTCCCCAGCGGTTCCTCGAGCAGCCCGGGGAGTGTCCCTGCCACCGTGCCCGTGCAGATGCCAAAGCCCAGCAGAGTCCAGCAGGCGCTCGCAGGTAGGTGCCTGCTCTCGGGCTGCACAGCAGTCTGTGCCCCGAGGGACCCAGTTGGGAGGAAATTGTGGTGCAGGGCCTTGTCACCCTCTGGATCCTCAGGGAGAGCCAAAGGGGCTCCTTAGGGGAGCAGTCCCTCTTTCTGGTATTGGTGTCACCCCAGAGTGAGCCCAGGTCCCTCCTTTGGCTCTCTGGGGATGTGGGATCTGATGACCATGGGTGCCCAGGTGCAGACCTTTTCACAACCTTTAAAATTTTTGCATGGAATTGCATTCCATTTATTTATGAGACAGAGTCTCACTCTGTTGCCCAGGCTGGAGTGCAATGGCGTGATCTCGGCTTACCACAACCTCCGCCTCCTGGATTCAAGCGATTCTTCTGCCTCAACCCCCCGAGTAGCTGGGATTACAGGTGCCCAACACCATGCCCAGCTAATTTTTTGTATTTTTAGTACAGATGAGGTTTCACTATGTTGGCCAGGCTGTTCTCAAACTCCTGATCTTGTGATCTCAAACTCCTGATCTCATGATCTGCCCTCCTTGGCCTCCCAAAATGCTGCAATTACAGGGGTGAGCCACCTCACCCAGCCTGAATTGCACTATGTGTGTGTATACGCACACACACACACACACACACACACACACATTTTTTTTTTGATACAGAGTCTCTGTCTGTTGTCAGGCGCCAGGCTGGAGTGCAGTGGCTCCATCTCAGCTCACTGCAACCTCTGCCTCCCCAGTTCTGGCAATTCTCCTGCCTTAGCCTCCCGAGGAGCTGGGACTACAGGCACGTGCCACCACACCCAGCTAATTTTTGTATTTTTTAGTAGAGATGGGATTTCAACATGTTGGCCAGGATGGTCTCGGTCTCTTGACCTTGTGATCCACCCGCCTTGGCCTCCCAGAGTGCTGGGATTACAGGCGTGAGCCACCTCACCCAGCCTACATTGTATTTAAAGAGTCACTTTTCTGTCCTGAAATGCTTGAGACATTTCATTCATAGACCTACTTCTGCTGTAGTTACTCTTATCTTGAATAAGAAGCACCTTTTGGGTCCAACCAGATATTTGCTATACTAACCATACCTCTTACATCTTGGAACTCTTGGGTTTTAATTTGTTTCGTTTCATTTTTTGAGACAGGGTCTCCCTCTGTTGCCCAGGCTGGAGTGCAGTGGCACTAACTTAGCTCACTAAAGTCTTGAACTCCTGGACTCAAGCAGTCCTCCCACCTTAAAGATCCTTAAAAATACCTGCAGCTGGCCCCCATGCCCATTCTATTTTAGCAGCCTGGCTATGAGGGTTTTTAGAAGCTCCACAGGTGGCAGGGTTTTTTTTTTTTTCTTTTATCTTTTTTTCTTTTTTTTTTTTTTTTTGAGACAGCATCCTGCTGTGTCACCCAGACTGGAGTGCAGTGTCAGAACCTCAGCTCACTGCAACCTCTGCCTCCCAGGTTCAACCAATTCTCCCACCTCAGCCTCCTGAGTAACTGGGATTACAGGTGCACACCACCACACCTGGCTAAGTTTTGTATTTTTCGTAGAGATGGGGTTTCCACATGTTGGCCAGGCTGGTCTCAGACTCCTGACATCAAGTGATCCGCCCACCTCAGCCTCCCAAAGTGCTGGGATTAACAGGCATGAGCCACTGTGCCTGGCCATTTTTTTTTTTCTTGTTTGAAGAGACAAGATCTTGCTCTGTCCCCCAGGCTGGAATGCAGTGGTGCAGTGATAGCTCACTGTTGCCTCCAACCCCTGGGCCGAAACGATCCTCCTGCCTCAGCCTGCGAGTAGCTCAGATTACAGGCACACACCATCATGCCCTGCTAGTTTTTAATTTTTTGTAGAGACGGGATCTCACTATGCTGCCCAGGCTGGTCTTGAGCTCCACGCTCAGGTCGACTTTCTGCCTCAGCCTCCTAAAAGTGCTGGGATTCCAGGCATGAGCTGCCATACCCAGCTGGGGTTATTTTCTAACTTCTGGAAAGTGTGAGGTATGTAAGGAGGTAGATGGCACCGCTGGCGCTCATGGGGTGATATAGCAGAATTGGGTCATGAGTTGATGTTTTAGGTGAGTCACTGTCGTAGTGCAGGTTGGCTGAGAGAGGACAGGCCCGGAGACAGGGAGGCCGGTGCAGAGCCTGACCTCAGACCTGGGGGCGCCAGCCAAGGCCTGACCAGCTTCGAGGCAGTGGAATGGAGGGGAGGTTTAGCTTTAACCATGTGGAGGCAGGAGCCGTCTGGTGGAGGGAGGGTGTTGAAGGGGGATGGAGGTAGCCTGAGGCCTGCTGGGGCGCAGCCGGCCATGACTGAGGAGGAGCCTGGGGCTTGGCGTGTGTGTGAATTCATTTCATCCTTAAATCGCTGAGGTGGGGGCTTTTGTTTCCACTTCCATTTGAGGAAACTGAGGCTCGAAGAATTTAAAAATTCTCTGCCAGCCCTTGGCAGAGCTGAGACACAGCCTGGGCCTTCTTGCCTATGACAGTTCTTTGCTGCTGAGTCTGGGGGAAGGTTTGGAGGGGGCGATGGCTGTGGAGGGGCCAGTGGAGCTGTTCTGGAGCAGTGGGAGTTTGGCCGTGGACCTCAGAAGAGCGGTCTGGAGTGGAATGGGGTGCCCTTGGCCCCACATGGGAGTGTGTGCACTGCAGAGACCGCAGACCGCAGACAGGACTCTGGGAAGAGCAGCCTGAAGAGAAAATGGAAGGAGCAGCCAGAGAGGTGGGGGCAGGAGGAAGGGGAGCTGGAGTGGTGAGGGGAGACAGAATGAGCTGGACACACTGGCCAGGAAGTTCCCGCCCCACTGAAGGCACCGTGTGGCGCTGTAGGGAAGTCACACTGTACCGCGTGTGCACGTGCTTGTGTGCGGCCGTGGTGGCGTTTGAGACAGGTTGTGGGTAAACAGACGGGGCCCCCACATGGTTCCTCACAGCCCAGCTCCTTCCAGCTCTGGGGCTCTCTCGAGCCTTCGTGGCCAGACCTGACAGTGAGTGACCTCTGAGGCCATGAAACTGATGTCACCGGGGCGCCTCTAGTGACACAGAGTGCCCTGGGTGTGGGGTTTGCACCTGCCCCTTCCCCTGCTCCTGAGGCTGAAGGTCCTATCCAGGCTGTGTCCCGAATTGTCCTTCCTGTTCTCCGTCCCCGTGGCTCTCAGAGCAATCCTGGAGCAAAGCAGTCCATTTTACTGGTAGGGAAACAGAGCCCACAAATTCAGAGACCTGGTCCAGGCTAGGAAATAGGAGAGGGTGGAGGCTGTGTGGACTGCTGCCTCCCCCAGTTCAAGGCTCAGTGTTGGTACCTGGTGGGGGAGCGTTGTCTAGGGGACCAGGCAATGAGAGGCACCTGGCCAGCCCCCTGCCCCCACCGGAGCCAGGCTGGAGAGCAGGGTGTCCTGTCACACTGGTGTGCTTGTGGGTTGAGGAATTACACCATACCCGGCTGCAGCGAGACGAGCCTTTGCACTCAGGGTTTCGCAGGGAGGTTTACTTACAACCAGGAGGTCATGCTGTGGAAGGACGGTGCTGGAGGCACTGCTTCCAGGTGACAGTGCCTCCAGGTGACAGGTCCCCCGGCTGTGGCATAGCCCTGCCCCTCCTTTATCGGGTTCAGGCAGGGGCTGTGAGGCTGGGGCCAGGATCCCCATCCCCCACCTGGTCACAGCAGCGGTCCGTCCACAGCTCACACTGCTGCCCCGAGCAGGGGTGGGTGTCAGCAGCCTGCCCAGGAATGCGCAGCTGGTGAGGGCTGGCGCTGGGCTCAAACCCAGGCTGGGGAGATCAGAGTGCACAGAGGAGAGGCTTGGATCTGAGCCCTGGCCCTTGGTATTAGAAGGAAGGGTGTCTGCAAATTGGAAGTGAGGGTGTGTGCGTGGGGGCTTCAATCTTCGGGGCCCTGACAGCGGGAATCCTCCCAGACAGGTGGAGAAAAAGACTGGCCCTCTGAGTTATTCAGGTGATTTGGGGGCTGTCCCGAACCTCCTTCTCTCCGGGCTTCTGGGTTGAAACATGTGTTTGTCCCTTGAATTCAGGGGAGTGGGTCCTGTGTTGAAAAGGACACTCGTATCGCTCATGCGGCCTCCTGGAGGCTGATGGTGGCCCAGGGATGTCCCCTCCTCAGCAAACAGAGGGCTGTGGACTCCCAGGGACCAAGCGCTGCCCCGAGCACTGGAGATGCAGGCTTGGCCGGGTCCCCACCTCATGGAGCTCGTGTTGGGGGAAGACCATCTATAGAAACAGAGAGTGAAAAACAGGAGTCCAGCAGGGCAGGGGTGGGAGACTTGGAGGGACAGTCTCTAACAGGGACACCCTGTTAGGCGGTGTTCCAGGAAGGCCAGCCTACCGAGCCAGAGCTGCCAGAGAGCCCTGGGTGGGAAGACGCGTTCTGGTCTCTGATCCTCCCAGAGGCACTGGGTTCTCTTGAGGAAAACTGTGCCTGTCCCTGTCCTTTCCCATCTCTCTGCCGCTCGTGCCCACTTGTCCTCTCCACCCGACATTTAGTTCCCACAGGAGCCACATTTGAGCCTGGGAACCACCTCGGGATGTTGGGCGCATCACCCTCCCAGCCTCAAACCTCTGTCTTCTGATGCGTGCTTTAGTGTCTCTTGCTGAGCGGCCACTGCAGCTCACCCTGCCTGCCTTGGCTATGCTGCCCAGGCTGGTGACTGGCCTCCGCTTCTGTCCCTAGCCAGGCACATGTGCCAGGTTGAGAAGCTTTGTTCTTCTAGTGGGGAGCAAAGCAGCCCCTCACCCCTGAGTTCACGCTGTCTGTTCCTGGATGGGGAGTGGGGTCCAGGAGGTCTGGGGTTGCTACCAACTCCCGCGGGCACCCAGCTGTGCCCAGCCCCTCAGCCAGGTTCTGCAGGCCCGGGAAGCCACCCTTAAGGGATGGCTGAGAAGCTCTGGGCTTCCCCTTTCTCCAGCGAGGAGGTGCTTCTAAGCCTGACTCATGACAGGGAGGACTTCGGAGATGGCACTGGGGAGAATGAGATAGGCCGAGGGTGTGGCAGGAACGGGGTCATCCAGCAGGAGGACACGCTGTGTCCCCGTAAGCACTGGGTCATCAGGGAGTACAAAGGAGGCCGTGTTGAAGGAGAGTCCCCCAGGACCAGTGTGGGCCCCCTGCAGGCATCGGGCAGTGGTGAGCACTGGAAAGAGTGGCCGGTTGGTCTCAGCATAGCTGCCAGCTGCAGGCCCACCCTTGACCAAGGGTGCCAGAGCGACAGCCCAGGGCTTTGCTGCAGCCCAGCCCTCACAGGATGGGGACTCCGCAGTGTGGGAGCAGGCCCAGGGGCCACATTCCTGCCTGCACACGCCAGTACTGTCACTGAAGGCTGTGGCACCTAGATCAGCCAGAAGGGGCATGGAGGCTGGAGACCTGGTGACCCAGAGCCAGGAGGGCTGGGGGCTCCTGGGGAAGCTGAGACCTTGGAGCAAGTCCCTCCCAGGAGACCCCATTCCCTGGGTGGCTTCCTAGAGTGGCGTCCTCCACCCTCCGCTCTCGTGAAGTCACTGGCCCTGCCCACAGTTGGAGGGCATAGGCTGGTCTGTTGCTTTATAGAAACCTGTGAGCCCTGGGGCTGGGGCTGCCATGAGCCAGGCTGCCCCACCCCTCTGATTCCTGGCGTGGGTAGTCCTGGCGGCCCCCAGAGGCCACATTCCCCAGGGAGACGTGTGAGTCCCCATGGCCGTTGATGGTGTCACGTCCTTGGCCTGAGCAGAGTTTGTTGGCGTCACATGCCGAATGAGTCTTCTAATGTCTCTCCCTCTCTGCGTGTCTGATCTCGCACCCGTGCAGGCATGACGAGTGTTCTGATGTCAGCCATTGGACTCCCTGTGTGTCTTAGCCGCGCACCCCAGCCCGCCAGCCCTCGCGCCTCCCGTCTGGCCTCTAAAAGTCACAGCTCAGTTAAGAGATTGAGGAAAATGTCCGTGAAAGGTAGTTCCTGTTCGCAAATGCTCGCTGGCCTTTGCTGAGCCTCCTCCCAGCCTTGCTGCCTCTGACTCTCCTGCACAGACGCTCTTCTTTCTTTCTGCTTCCTGTTCCCTGGGGGGATGGGCTCAGTGGCCCTCTCCCTGCCCCCACTCGGCAGCAGAGGCGGCCCCTGGGAGCTGACTTTCCACCACAGCCCCAGAGTTCAGCTCCTCTCCTCCAGTTACAACTGGCACAAGAGGGGCTTGTTGTTGAGGATTTTGTGATTTTTGCAAGCACTAAGGTGTGGCTGAGAAGCAGGGCTTGGCTCAGGGTGTGGGGACAACCGTCCCTTCCACCAGGGACAGTGTGTGTCTCAGGAAAGGCCCCCAGACAGTGGCCAGGTCTGCTGCCTTGACTGCCAGCCCCACGTGGCTGACACATGACTGCTTGAGAAGGGCCCTCGGTGACCTCTGCCCTGCCGGCTGCATGGCCAGGGAGGAGGGGCTTTAGGACTATAGCAGGTTCGGGACATTAGAGCAAGAGCAGCTCGGAGCAGCCTTCGTGGCAAGTTCTGAACCTTTCTCAAGCGGTGCTGGCCCTGCCTCCACCCCTGGGCCATGGAAGTGTGGACTACGGCCAGCCCAGATGCTCTTGAGTCGGCGTGGTGGCAGGCAGGGATGGTGGCCATGGCCCTGCCGGCCCCCAGTGGCTGTGTGATCTCAGCAGGTCCTCCTGGAGCCTCTGCTTAGCAGAGGGGCTTGGCGGGGACTCTTTAAGCGCCTGGCATGCAGCAAGGGTGGCTTCTGATCGTGTCTGACCTCCAGCCCACAAGCGAGGGGGTGAGCTCAGGGAGGGGTGGGCCTGGAGCTCTTGCCCCTAGCCCAGGGCTCTGCACACCCTGCCTTTCCCCTGCCCTGGAGGAGGAGCCAGACTGGTGGGCAGGCTGGGCTGGCAGCCTTCTGTGGCACTCGGGTTTACCTGGGAAGGACACGCTCTTGGCAGGTCACCTGGCTGGCCCCTTTTGAGACTCTTGGCTAATGGAAAGGTCCCTTCTGTTCTCAAAGGCTGCAAAGGCTGGGGTGGGTGGGTGGGGCAGGATGCTGTGCCCGGCCTCACCAGGGCTGGACAGAGGCGAGGCCCAGGCTCACTCGGAGATGGCTCTGGAGTCCACAGAGCCCCTCAGCCTGAGTGGAAGATTCCGGGCACACGGACAGCCACCCTGAGCTGGGGGCCATCAATCTAGTCTGGGTTCTCACCACAGTGACTGGAGTGTTAGTCTGGGCAGTCTGTATGGGTGGGTGTGGAGGTGTAGAAGGTGTGTGTGTGGAGGTGTGGGGTGGAGGTGTGAGGTGTGTGGGTGTGGGTAAGTGGAGGTGCGGGGTGTGGGTGTGTGGAGGTGTGAGGTGTGGGTGTGTAAGTGGAGGTATGAGGTGTGTGGGTGTGTAAGTGGGAGTGTGGGGTG